TTAAAAAAGTGGTCGCTCTCTTCATTTTTTTCTCATGTCTAAAAGCACCTGAGTGTTGTAACCCCCGTTTCCTTTACAGTCAGAGCCAGCTGCTCTTGGTCACGTTGCTGTTATGGGAGCTTGTATTCACTGCTGTCAAAATTGGATACTTCTTGTTCTGGACCAAAGTATGTTCCTCAAATTCATATGTTGAAAGTCTGACCTCTCAGTACTTCAGAATGCAACAGTATTTGGAGATGGAGCCTTTAAAGAGGTGAGTAAGTTAAAATGAAGCTATTTGGATGGGCCCCAATCCAATCTGACCAGTGTCTACAAGAGGATGCCATTTATTCCCACAAGAGTAGCACCAGCAGGCGGTGTGCACAGAGAAATGACTGTGCGGAGGTTCAGCTAGAGATGGCATCTGCAAGGCAGGGAGGGAGGCCTCAGGGGACACCAGCCCTGCTGACTCCTCTGTCTTAGGCTCCAGCCTCCAGGACTTCGAGGAAATACATTTCTGTTGTTTAAGCCATGCAGTCTGTGGTATATAGTTATGACAACTCTCAAACAATTTCTCAAATGACAGAAGGTGACATATACAGAATTCAACCCAGTGATCCTGCTTCTGGATATATGCTCAAAGAAGCATGAATCACTCTACCAAAAAGACACCTGCCCTTGGGTGTTTATTGCAGCACTATTCAGAGTAGCAAAAATGTGAAACCAATGAACAGTGGTCTCGGTAAAGAAAATGTGGCACATATACGCCATGGAATACTATACAGTCAAAAAGAAGAATGAAATCTTATCCTCTGAAGCAACATGGATGCAACTGGAGGCCACCATTCTAAGCAAATTATCACAAAAACAAAAAACGGAATGCCACATGTTCTCATCATTAGTGGGTACTAAACACTGGGCACAGATAGGCACAAGATGGGCACTGCTAAAGGGGGGAGGAGGGGAGATGAGGGCTGCAAAACCCTCCATCGGGGACCATGCTCACCACGGTGGGGGGGAGGGCAGGGGGAGTAGGCTCTTCAGAGGCCCAAACCAAACCTTGCCATCATGCGATGTACCTGTGTATCAAATCTTCTCATGTACTCCCTGATTCTAAAATAAAACGAAAATGAAAAATTAATTTTTTTTCATTGCCTGGTTCCTGTGAACCTAATACAGAGTTTATTATTTTATTATTATTATATATATTTTTTTCTTTTGAGTCGCCTCTGCCTCCCAAAGTGCTAGGATTACAGGTGTGAGCCACTGCACCCAGCTAATTTTATTTTGAATCAGGAACTTGGGAAACCTTCTTGTTGATGATGGTTTAAATGTGCTACAAACCAGTTGTTAAGTAGCCGACTCCATGCAGCCCATGTGTCCTTCTCCTGACTTGGCTGTCCCTTGGTGCTCAAATTTAATGCCAGGGGCTGGTTGGAGGTGGTGGTGGTTGTGGGAAGTCCATGCCGGCTCATGCCTTCCATTTCTTTCTTGGCGCCCAGACTTCTAGTGAAACTTTTCTGCCCTCTCCTTCTCCACACTTCAGGGATTATCTGGGTCTCAACTCCGTCCACCCGAATCCCCATAACTCTTATCACCAATGTGAGTCACTAGAGGGTTGTTAGCAGTGTGGGAAGTGGAAATGAGATTTTATTTTTAACTTATCTTCAAGGGCGTGGATGAGTTTTAAATTAATTTTTTGGTGTTGTTTTCAATAATGCTTTTTCAACTTTCATTTTGAAATAATGTCAAATTATAAAAGAGTTAAAAGAATAGTGCAAAGAAAGTTCATATAACCTTAACTCAGGTACATCAGCTGTAAAAGCTTTCGACTACATTTGATTTATTACATTCCTTGTCTATATCTATCTATCGATATCATCTATCTAGCTAGCTGTCTCTGTCTATATCTGTTTATCTCTATCTATCTCTATCTCTGTCTCTATCTCTATCACATATATGCATACTTTTCCTGAATAATTGGAGATTTAGTTAGAGAAATCATACTCATCTACCCTTAAATGCTTCAACATCTATTTCCTAAGAACAGGGATGTTTTCTTACAGAATTATCAAACTCAGAAAGTTTCACATTGATATTACCTAATTGGTATGACATAATCCATGATTCATATTCAAATTTCCCAGTTGCCCAATAATATCCTTTTCTTATTTTTTATTTTTGGGACAGTGTCTTGCTCTGTTGTTCAGGCTGGAGTGCAGAGACATGATTATAAGTCACTGTAAACTCAACCTTCTGGGCTCAAGTGATCCTCCTGCCTCAGCCTCCTGAGTAGCTGGGACTAAAGGTGCACACCACCATGCCCAGCTAATTAAAACCAAAATTGTGTTGTAGAGATAGGGTCTCACCTTGTTGCCCAGACGGGCCTCAAACTCTTGGACTCAAGCACTCCTCCTACTTCGGCCTCCCAAAATTTTAGGACTACAGGTGTGAGCCACCCAGCCTTGCCCCAATAATGTCCCTTATGGTAATCTTTAATTCCCCTCCTGACTGCAAGGATCGAATCTAGGATTGCATATTGCATTTAGTTGTCATGCCACTTAAATCTTCTCTAACCTTTGTCTTTCCTGACATCTATATTTTTGAAAATGCTAGTTTTGGAAATGTTTCTCCATTTGAATTTGTCTGATGATTAGATGCAGGTTATGTATTTGGGGCATAACTAGAACTTTAGACTTACATAGGTTATTCCTGCATCAAAACAGAAGAGACATCAAAGAGTTATCATACGGATTTCCACTGCTTCCAAAGCAGGTAGTCACACTTCATTTGAGAAACTAATTTACTTGGAGGTATTAGTGACAGAACACTATTCCTGCCTAATTCAATAAATCTGCTAAGGATCCCTGTATTTTAAAAACAAAATGTGTTAATCCAAAGAAATGATGCAAAAAATATGTTTTTTAAGTCACACAGGTACATACTTTTTTTTTGAGCAGGAGTCTCGCTCTGTTGCCCAGGCTGGAGTGCAGTGACATGCTCATGGCCACTGCAGCCTTGACCTGCTGGGCTCAGGAGATCCTTCCACCTCAGCCTTCCAAGTAACTGGAACCAAAGGCCACATCACCCTACCTGGCTAGTTTTTGAAATTTATTTTAGAGACAAGTTCTCATCAAGTTGCCCAGCCTGGTCTAGAACCCCTGGGCTCAGGTGGTCCTCTCGCCTCCATCTCCCAAAGTGCTGGGATTACAGGTGTGAGCCACCACACTTGGCTAATATATACTTTTAATTGTAGGTGTGGGCTGCTTCTCTTGAGGGCAACTCTATGCAGTCTCCAGGGTGAGGAGTGGTGCTATTTGGAGAAAGGCCCTTACTCTGGACCGCTACAGGGCTAGCTTACCTCCTCCAGTAGATGCCGTGATTAATGCATTGGTGCCGTTATCCCATCCTTAGTGTGCCTGCGTTTACCTGAGGTTCACCATCATCAAGCAAGGCCTTAAAGGACTAGATTTCAGAACCTTAAGTTTTGAATTGCAAAAATTCTAATGTTCAGGATGAGAAAGCCCAGTTCAGCAGTCCGGAGGGTTGGGGGGAGGAGATAGAGGTATAAAAAAAATCATCTGTTGGGTACAGTGTGCACAGGTGGGGACGCTGGGTGCTCTGAAGGCCCAGACCAAAAACTGTGTGTATCTTCCAAAGCAATTGGGAAAAAAAAATGTCCAGCCAAAACTAGATGGTTTTGTGAGGACACAGAGTCCCTAAGTGAGCTGAGAGGAAGCCTGGAGAAAGAGACAGGACACTGACATTGATCTGTCTTCAGGCTAGCCTGTGGTTTACCCTTGGCCTTTCCTTGGTCTTGGTATGGTCTCTCCAACCAAAAAACACAGCAAGTAGTGTCTGCTTCAAAATGAATTTTATTATTAAATGAGTGTTTCAAATGTGTTCTTATTTAAACCTGTAAATTTAAAATGCATCTGTTCTTAAAATGAATATTTGCTATGAAGTGAACGTGGGAAATTGTCTCTTTCTTTCTCATCTGTTCCAGCAGGGGAGCACAGGGGAATTCTCTCCCTTCTTGCAGGCAGCTGGTCCCAGAGGCCTCATGTCTTTGTGTCAATTATTTTTATTTTGGTAGCAGCAGCCGCTGCTGCCACTTTTGCACATAGTTCTTAGGGGAACAAGCCACTGACCACGTATGCAAAGCCACAGCTCCTCTGTACAGGCAAGACGAGAAGTAGACGGGACAGTATTTTACAGAGGCTGGTGAATGAGGTCTTGGGATGTGCGTTTCGTGTGGTACACAGGGAAGACAAGGTCTTGAGAGGTGAGTGAACTTCTATCTGCAAAGTCCAAGAGTTGCTGGAATCTGTGGAACCTTTGGCCAGGCTTTTGATCCTGATATCACATCAAAAGCTTGAGGGTAAGTATATCATTTGAACCAGTATCTACATAATAACAGGAAAGACACTAAGACACTTATCAAACTGCTTTGTATTGGTTGTTTACAAAAGTTAACATTAAAACAAATTTATTTATTTACTTTTTGAGTTGGGGTCTCACTCTGTTGCCCAGGGTAGAGTGCAGTGGCATGATCACAGCTCACTGAGGCCTCGATCTCCTGAGCTCAAGCGATCCTCCCACCTCAGCCTCACAATTAGCTGGGACTACATGTGTGCCACCGCACCTGGCTAATTTTTTGATTTTATTTTGTAGAGATGAAGTCATGCTATGATGCCCAGGCTAGTCCGAAACTCCTGTGCTCAAGCAGTCCCCCTCGGTCTCTGAAAGCCACTGTACCTGGACAATCTTAATTTTTTTAAATGCTCTTTAATTTAGAAGAGGAGGTTGATTCTTCTGGCATCACAGAATGGATGGAAATTATTGGAAACACCCATTTTAGGATTTTATTTGCATTCTGTGACCATAAAAAACTGAGGATAGGAATAATATAGTTACTGTTTTATAAACACAAATGTAATCCAACATCTTCACTGCTGACAAGGAGAACAATTTCTAGACAATAGTGTTGAGCATATTTAATCTTTGAACCCAGCAGTTTTAGTTTGAAAAGAGAAAACAGAAACCTCTTTATTATCTTTCTTGAGGGATTGACTTTTCTTGCTTCAGTGTGTTTGGGCTTCTCTCTTCTCTCATATTTCCTCAGATGAGCTTCCTCTCCGGAATCTTTTTCTGCGGAAATGTATGTGAGGAGGAAAGCGACCGTGTGGCCAGTAAGATGGCTGGAACGAAAAACGGTGGTTGCACCTTGGAGGGTGGAAAGGCCTGTCTGGAAACCAAAGGTGGATTCTGGGTCTTCTGGGGGGAAAAACATGAAAGGGAAAGTTGGGCATTCTGGTGATGGCCTGGACCCTGGTGACCGGATTCCTTGTAGTGGGTGGAGGGGTGAGTGTGAAGATCTGGCAGTCTGTAGGGTCCGCGTTATCTTGTGGGCCTCCTGGAGGAGTAAACGCCTCTTCTTGTCCTGTGGGAGGAGAACACAAGTCAGGAAGCAGGTTCGGTAACAGAAGCAGAAGAGAGGTATACTTCAGGGTGGTGGTGGGAGAAAAAGATGGGAAGCGAGAATTCGAGAAATCTCAAAGCATGTTTGAAAGAACTGCCAAAGTTTGATAAAATGGAACTTGGACACACCTTATGACCCAGCATTTCCACTTCTGAGAACTTACCTGAGGGAAATGAATGTCTATGTCTTCAGAAAGGCTAGTTCAAGAATGTTCATTGTAGCCTTATTCTTAATAACCTCAATTCGAAAACAATCCAAGTGTTCATCAGTAGGAGAATGGATAAACACGCTGTGTATATTCCTACACTGACACAGTCCTCAGCAATGAAAAGGAAGAACTGCCAATACCCACAATGACATGGATGACTCCCACAAATGTTACATTGAACAAAAGAAATCAGACACAAAGGGTTCCATTTACATGATGTTCAAGAACAAGCAAAACCAAGCTTTGGTTTTAAAAAGGTCAAAATAATATTTGGTTTAGAGTTACAGATGCTATTTAGCTAAGAGAGTAACCAGGGAACTCTTTAGAAATGCTCTATACCTATGTCTTGGTGTGGTGGCTCATGCCTGTAATCCCAGCACTTTGGGATGCCAAGGTGGGAGGATCACTTGAGCCCAGAAGTTTGAGACCAGTCTGGGCAACATAGTGAGACTTTGTCTCTACAAAAAAAAAAAAAAAAAAATTAACTAGCTATGCAGGTGTGGTGGTGTGTGCCTGTAGTGCCTTCCAATACTTGGAAGGCTGAGGTGGAAGGATCGCCTGAGCCCAGCAGTCGAGGCTGCGGTGGCTGTGAGCATGCTACTGCACTCCAGCCTGGGCAACAGAATGAGACTTCAAACAAAAAAAAAAAAGAAAGATAAGAAAAACAACTGCCTTCAGAGGCCATCGATCCAAAAGCTCTACTCAAGCAGCAAGATACTTCTCTAGAGAGAAAGGGAGGGTGCATTTAATGCAGTAGGAAAGAGAACACTGCAGACCAGGATGCAATTATTTTTTGAGAAGAAATTTGGATCAAGCTTAAGTGTCCCAAGCTTCCCTTGGGACAATCACATTGACTGCGAAAGGTAATTTTTCCTTTACAGGCTGGGCAACATAGCGATATCCCGTCTCTACAAAAACGTTTAAAAAATCGGTGGGTGTGGTGGAGCATGCTTGTTTTCTTCCCCTCTCAAGAGGCCCAGGCATGAGGATCGCTTGAGCTCTGGAGCTTGAGGCTTCCGTGAACTATAATCGTGCCACTGCACTCAACCTGGGTGGCAGAGTGAAGCCCTGTCCCCGGCCCCTCAAAATTATTCCTTTACAGAATTGCTTCTTCACTCCCTCTGAGGCTTCCCAATACAGGCCCGGAAAGGGCTGTCAAGTGTGAATGATGGAAAAAGAAACTTCCCACAGGAAGTTGGGAGCAACGAGGCACTTAACAAGAACGAGAACTGTTGAATTCATGCTTCTTGGCTGTTTTGGACATACTTATTACTTGCCTGTGTCCATAGACCCTTCTAGATAGTCTGTTTCACCCAAACCCAGGAAAGGTAAGGTCAGTTCGCACACCCTCTGGTTATGGTTGATTGGACCGCAGATGAACTCTCCACTCATTCATTGGTTGGTCAGTGACCAATCGGATTCTCACTTGAGAATTAGATGGAGGAGACACAGCAGAAGGTGTAGGGGGAGACTGGAGTGTCAGGTCTTGGCCAGTTGGAGGTTGAGAAAGCAAAGAAGCCGGTCTGCACAGAGAAGCAGCAAAATAGCAAAGGCCTCTAGGAGGGAAAGCGGAAGGGACCATGTGGCAACCGAGTGATGCTGGGAGAAGCCTTGGTCTTTGACCCTTCAGGGACGGCTGCTATGCTTAAGATTCTTGTAGATCTTATAATAATCAATCCACCTCCAGCTCTTTTCTTTTCTGAAACTAGCTTGAATGGGTGTCTGTTCCTTGAGTAAAATACCAGCCCTTTCTCCCATAACTACCTGGGCTGCTGGGCATTGAAATCCTATGATTGATTAAGACACTTTGAACTACAGAAGGTGATTAAATCCCACATTAGTCTTTTTTTTTTCTGGTAAGTTTTGAACCTTTGTGAAAAGAAGACTTTCTGCCCAGAATCCAGTTGCCAGGGGAGATACTAGCCTCGCATTAAAGCCCATCCTGACATTTTGCTATCAGACCAGGTTTAGCTGAGCCTTGGGTTCTGATGCTCAGTTAACTGTGTCCAACTGTCAAAAACAAATATACTCCTCTCATTTCCTGAAACCTGCAGCTACTCTCTAAATCCCCCTCTGACCATTGGGTTTAGAGCCTGCTAGGTAGGATTTCTCTGATTCTGGGATGTCAAGTAGTGTTCAGTGCTCTCTTCTGGGAATTTCCAGCAGCTCAGGATCGGGGTATAAGCTTGCCCTAGTTAACCACCCAAGAATGTGGGCAGGGCCACATAAAACCGCATTATTCCAGCACACTAGACATATGGTGATTGCACAGGTTACTAAATGGCTAGTATAAGTGTTCTAACACATGCGAGCTCCCAGACTGATCTGGGAACAGTCACATCTTATAGAGTTAAGGCCACACATCTGAGTAAGCAGGTTGGGCTGATGCCATTCACGGTGCGTAGCTTTGGCTGAGCTAACTGCACTCCTCAGCTCTTTCATTTATCTTTTCCCACTGTCTTCTGTGATTTTGCCATCTCCTCAAAGCCCCCTCAAAATTCTTATTCTTCTTTATTTATTTGAGGAATTTGCTTTGACATTCTACCACTCTCTCTATTAGATAAGTAGATTACTTATCTTCAAGAAACCTGAGGTGATCTGCCCTCAGCTTCCTTGGTTCCTACTTCTCTGTCTTTAACGACTACACACTCATGGATTCCATTTCCCCTCATTTAATCCACTGGAATCTGACTCTGCCTTCCCTACTCCTCAAAAGTGACTTTAGCAAAAGCCAGCAATGATCCTGGGCTTCTAAGAAGGTGGCTCCAGATGCCCAGAGCACCATTTCCTCCCATCCAGGTTTCATGTCTCAGTTTTTCCAGGGAGGCCTTCCCTACCTGGAGACTGGCTTAAGGCCCTTCACAATGTGTTTCCACAGCACCCTGGGGTCCGCTTTCATGGTGCTTATCAGTTATGTGATTGTTATTCAGTGGTTGAATTCCTGCCCCTCTAAATTACCCGTGTGACCATCTTGGGTCAGCTATTTCCTTGTCCTTGGCAATTGCCTGTAGTAGAATTGAACTGATTGAGAAAAATCTCAGTTTCTATCATTGCAAAAGTCATCATCAAGTTTCTACCACTCAGAAGTAGTGTGATGATTAATAAGCAAATATTTCCCCTTAGGTAACATGCTGACATACCACCAAAGGCACTAAACGTCAATGATGAGAGCTCTTCTGCAAGTTTAGTAAGACCAAAGTAAGTCACATATTTATATGCAGACTTCAAACATTTTGAGAGGCAGAACAGCACAGTGTTTAGAAGGATGAGCTCCAGGGCCGGGCTCTATGAGCTCTGCTATTTTAGAACCATGTAACCATGGATGAATCCCTTAAACTCTCATTTCCTTATCTGTAGAGTGGAAAAAATACTGCTACCTGTCTCATCTTGTTGTGAATGTTAGCCGAAATAAAATGTGACAGTGCTCAGGATGCTGTCTGACACACAGCATGCATTTAGAAAGGCTTAGCTGCTGTTGTTCAACGTGAATATTGTGGGCAGATCCTATTAGCGCGAGCCCATGTTCTTAGACCCATCTGGTTACTTTCTACACATAAAATTTGTGCAGTAAGGGTAGGGCTAAAGGGGACAGGCGTTATTAGAATAGGACCTTCATGATGACAGAGATGGCTGACTCCGTGGTCACTGCCTACGTCCCCAGCACCTAGAATGATTTCTGGTCTATAGCGGTGTCCAGTGAATGTTTGACGAAAGGGCAGGCAGATGTCAAATGTTTCTCTCTGTATATATTTGTGGAGCTCAGTAAGTATTTCATTCCAGTCCCAGAAAACATGCAGTAATAATTCACATTCAGAATTAGAGTATAACAGAAAAAACAGGCCAAAATATTGCTTGGAATTTAGATATCAATTTTAAATGGGTTCATTATAGTCTAGACATGAAATTCATAGCACACCAAATATTTTAAAAATAAGTACTTTAAAAAGACCATAATAGTGAAACTCTTTTCTTTTTTTATAATTACCTGTACTCTGTGGTTATTTGGGCAGACAATAGCTGGCTTGCAGTGAACTATACCGATTTTAAGAGAAGTAGGCTTTATACTTGATGTTGAAGTGTGTGGTTCTTCCCTTATATGGCACACGGAGTCGTAGAAAAATTCTTGGGTGCTTTCAGAGTTGAACCAGAAAGAAAAACAAGTCCCGTGTTTCTTCATTCACAATAACTGCAACTTAGTTCATTTTGTAGACTCATAGAAGGGCTGTCTTGGTCAAATCTCTAACTTTACAGATACAAAATGTGGAGCCTAGGAAGTGTTACACGGGCCTCTCTCAATTCTGTGCTGTCAGTCAATTTGTGTCCATCACGACAGGTGACGACATGAGGTACTATGGCAGTTGTTGAGATGATGAAGACCCAGGGCCCAAGCTTGAGGCATGGGAAGATTCTACACAGACACGGACCTGCAGGACAGAGCAGAATGTAGTACCTGCTGTGGAGGTGTGTAGTTGCTGTCAGAGTTCAGAGGTGTCAGGAAGAGAGATTGCAGTTGTAACATGAGGTGTCTGAGACCCAGTATGGTGGCTTATGCCTGACATCTCAGCACTTTAGGAGGTAGAGGTGAGAGGATTGCCTGAGCCCAGGGGTTTGACACAGCCTGGGCAATTTGGCAAGACCTTGTCTGTACAATACATTTTAAAAATTAGCTGAGTGTGGTGGTGTGTGCCTGTAGTTCCAGCTACTTGGAAGGCTGAGGTGGAAAAATCACCTGAGTCCAGTAGGTTGAGGCTGCAGTGGCCGTGAGCATGCCACTACACTCCAGCCTGGATGACAGAGTGAGACTCCAACACACACACACACACACACACACACACACACACACACACAAAGAAAACTTAGGTGTTTTAAGAAAGACTTTGTAAAGGCAAAAGCGTAGTGGGACTTAAACGCTATGCTTTGACGCGGAATTGCAACATGGAAAGAAGGACGAGAAGACAGCTGCCCAGAGGAGAGAGAGAGGCTGAGTGTGGAGGGCCTGGGGTGTGTGTGAGTGACACCCAGTGGCTGCTGGAATCGAATGATGCTACATTTTGAAGGACTTGGAGGGACTGTGGAGAAGAGCGAGCCAAGTTCAGAAATCAAGTCTTACGTTCCAATCTCTAATCTCATAACTCATTTTGCTACACATTTCCAAAGTTTCCGGGAGGTTTCACTTTCTGGAAAGCAGGTGGCAGGCAGCTAGTTCTGATGTATGATATCTCTTTTAGCTGCCAATTTCAGCAGGTGATGGATGGGGTCCCTGACTTGGGATCTGGGGGAAAGCGTGGCTTATACCTTACGCCCCTATCCTCTGACTGCCACGGCTTGTGCAAAGGTGGGATCTGGGATCTCTGGGTGACACACGACCAGCTTCCATGTCTCTCCCCACCTCCAATCTGTTGTGAGCTTCAGGGGACGAGAGCAAGGAAGTTGCTGGGGGTGGATGAGTAGGGTCTGGCGGAACCCCTGCCACCCTCTCCACCCCAGGACGTGTGGGAGGGGTGAGGGGTCTGCCTGACTCCCAGGTTTCTCCTCCCTGAACAGCGTCTAGCTTCGGAACTAAGGTAAACTTGGAAAAAAATGTTAGATCCAGGACCCCCAGGGCCTCCCTCCCCTCTTTCACCCCTTTTCTCCCTTCCCCTCTCCTTTCCTTTCCTTCCCTTGGGAGTTTCTAATCCAATTCTAAGGCTCAGGCCACTTGGACAAAATCGTAGCAGAGAAAAGGAAAGAAGATAGGAACAGAGGAGAAATGGACTCTGATATAACCCTAGAAAAAGACACCTGGAGCATCAATACACGGCTCACCAGATGCGATTCATGGAAGCAGTGAACAGAGCCCACATACCTACCCTGTGCAAAGGAATGTGCTGCTGGAGAAAAAGAGGTAAGCGGTGCTGCGATTTAGGGTGAGCATGGTTAGCTTCACAGCAATGACAATTCATATTTGCAGAGTGTTTTTAGCACGTAGAGTTTTTCACACTTGCTGGCTCATGTGGGCCTCACAGCCCCTACAGGAATGAATCTGATTAATACTGTTACTTCCCATATGAAAAACCAGATGCTCCGAGAGGTTCAGCTTGGTGTGTAAAGTCACAGAGCTAGTGCTGAGACTGGGACCAAGGTCTTCAGGAGATAGAATCCACCCTCTTTCTCTTTAGCTACTCAGGCAGAGGGAAACTGAGGTAGACATTTTCAGTTTATGGGAATGCGTCATACTGAAGCCGATTTTGCCATTTTTCTTATGATTTTGTCATTTTATGTCCCACAGTAGCATAAAAACCAAGCGCTTACCTTCTGCCACGGTTACAACCAGCCAGCAGACAAGCAGCCAGGAGAAGATGTGCTTTTCAGCCATGGTTTCAGTGCTGAGCTATCACTGCTTGGATCCCAGTGTTGCTTTAAAGGAGAGCTGGTGAGTCATGGCAGCCTGATTCAGGTAATTTGCATTTGCACTGTGGACCACAGCCATCAGGTTTTGCGGTGTGAAGGCAAGAAATCCACAAGGAAATACCAGACAGCATTTGTCAACCAGAAGCCCTGGACTGACAGCCAGGTATCATTCATCCTCCTGGGAGTGGGATTCTGGACAGTCTCGCCCCACTGACCTGTAATCCCTGAAATCTTCTCCCCTTGTTAGTGCCTCTGCATTGCTTGTGTGCATGTGTCTTCCTCTACAAGAGAAAGAACCTGTCCAGGAAATATACAGCATGCTTCCCTCTGTGTTGCTTACCTGCTTAAAGAGCAAAGCCAGGCGGGTAAGGCATTATCCAGAGGCTTCCTGGCCCAGGTGGTTTGAAGAGGCTGTTCTTAGGCACTGGCCAAGGTTGATGCTTCTTTTTCTTTGCTCTGCTTTCATCCGGGAGGCAAGGATCAGGACACTATCTTCCTTAGTAGTCATGACAATCACTGTCTAAACACACATAAAAGCTAGAGGCCAGGCATGGCGGCTCACCACTGTAATCCCAGCACTTTGGGTGGCTGAGGTGGGAGGATTACTTGAACTTGGGAATTAGACTAGCCTGCACAACCTAGCAAGACCCTGTCTCTACAACAACAACAAAAATTAGCCAGATGTGGTGGTGCATGGCTGTAGTCCTAGCTACCCAGGAGGCTGAGACAGGAGGATTGCTTGAGCCCAGGAGTTGGAGGTTGCAGTGAGCTATGATCGTGCTACTAGACTCCAGCCTGGCTGACTAAGCAAGACCCTATCTCTAAAATAAAGGGAGGTGGATAACAGTGAGTTGTCCTTCCAATTCACCAAACTCTCTGTAAGATGGGCATGACACATCTGTGCCCAGTTAGTTCCCGAGAGAAGGACCCTATAAGCTTCTGGAGAAATGAGACGGATGGGCACAGGTCGTTAAAAGCATGGATATCGAGTTAGGAAAAACTCCAATCTTGGTTCCTTTTCTTACTAGTTGAGTGTTTGTGATGAGTCCCTGTGACTTGCTAAAGTCTCAGGTGCTCCATCTGTAAGATGGGGCTTGTAGTTCCTCCCTCAGAGGAATTTTGTGAGTTAAGAAGATAATTGCCATAAAACTCCAACCACAGAGCCTGACCTGTGAAAGGGAGTGGTTGTGGTTGTTATTAAATTATAAAAACCCCAAATGATACTTTATTCTCTTAGGAGGTTGCCAAGTCAGTCACTCAAAAGACCTCCACTTTGAGGAGAACATTTTCTTGGGCATCATGTAAGGAAAACAAAGAGAAAAAAACTAATCAGAGTCCCTGGCTTTGAAGGTTGACAGAGTAATGAGGGAGACTGTGAAGTCTGAGAAGCAAAGTGAATGAGGATGAAATACTCACAAACTAGGTTTTGGTCAGCTCCACAGGCTTGATGTTAGTCTTGGGCAAAATTCTAGAATGGATCATTAAGTGAGTGATTTGTCAGCATTGTGTAAAGGAGTTGGGAAACATCCAGAGCAAGCCTGGTTCCTCAGACCGCCCACTCCTTTAACAGTTCCTTATTGACTCTCATGGATTTCCGGGTCAGACACAAGACTAGGTGCTGGGGCTCAAGACAGGGTCCTGCCTTCTCAGAGCTTACAGTCTGTCAGGGACATTCAATCTTAGCTCAGAAATAGCAGTGAGGGCTTAAGGGGTGAGAGAGGGAAAGTGCTGGAGGCTGAGGGAACACGTAGCGGGGAAACATAATTTACAACCTTACCTCAGTGGGTCATGTGACATCGTCCCCCATGCTGCAGCCACACGGCCGTGCCAGTGACATCAGATCTGCACAGCCACATCAGCTACTGTCCAGTCCTTCATTTTATAGGCTTATTGTAATTTTTGGGGGTTCATAACAGCATTTTATTATTTTTTAATTTTTATATTTTATTTTAAAGATGGGGGTACAATTCAGGATTAGGCATATAAGTGGACATTGTACAGGTTACATTTGGGCCTCCTTTTGGTACCCCTTGCCTGGTTTGAGATCAGGTACCCTTTTGATGTGGTTTAATGTAGTTTATTTAACCATACTTTTAGCTATTGGCCATACTTTCATTTTTTTATTTCTTCTGATTCTCTTTCTTTTCTGTATTAGATTTCTTTTCTTTTTGAGTCTGAGTCTCACTCTGTCATCCAGACTGGAGAGCAGTGACACGCTCATGGCCACTGCAGCCTCGACCTGCTGGGCTCAGGCGATCCCTCCACCTCAGCCTTCCAAGTAGCTGGAAGCACAGGTGTGTGCCACCATGCCTAGCTAATTTTATGATTGATTGTACAGACGAGGTCTCACCATGTTGCCCAGGCTGGTCTTAAACCCTCAGGCAATCCTCTCGCCTCTGCCTCCCAAAGTGCTGGAATTAAGGCATGAGCCACTGCACCCAGCTTCTGTATTAGATTTCTAATAAGATTTCACCTTAAATGTTGATGAAAATAAATAATAAAAGCAAAATAACTTATTTTTTGCACTTGCCTCTGTTGTCTTGAAATTCATAAAAATACACCAGATTTTAAAAGAAAAAAGATTTTAACAAATTTTATCTCATTCTTAACTCACAGAAAATTCTTTTTTTATTAGTGTGTAGAGTAACCAAGTCTTGCCATATTTTATTTCTGTGTGTGTTATGTATAGAGTGAAACCAAATGTTCCATGATGCATAAAATCAAAGACACTGCTGTGAGGTTATCAGATTCATTTGTAAAATTCTGTATTTACCTTAAAATTAGGGGCTATTTTTGAAAGCTTATTTCAAATGCATTAATTTTTGTAAAAATATCTTTTAGCCATATACTTTATTTATTTATTTGAGTTGGAATCTCACTCTGTCGCCCAGGCTTGGAGTGCAGGAGCACACACGCTCACAGCCACTCCAGCGTCAACCAGCATCAGCCTGCAGGGCTCAGACCATCCTTCCACCTCAGCCTTCCATGCCACCACTCTTGGCTAATTTTTGATTTATTGTAAAGACGAGTTCTCGCCAAGTTGCCCGGGCTGGTCTCGAACCCACGGGGTCAGGCAATCCACTCGCCTCGGCTGGAATTACAGGCTGAGCCACTGAGCCTGACCAGTCATATACTTTAAATATCCACAAACCATAACTCTATCATTTAGTGGCAGGGTGAACCATGAGATTCTAATTTCTTTTCTTTGTTTAAATATGACTTTATTTCATTATATAGATGTGTACAAGTCAGGATTAGGTACATAAGTAGTCTATGTGTCTATGTGAAGGTGAAGTTTGGAGTCTTCAACTGGTTATGTGTCTCATCTTCCACCTCCTGGCGGTGTCCTGTGACTGCTGATCCCTCCCTTGTGCTAATGTGATTAATATTCAGGTCTCACTTATGAGTAAGAACATGTGGTATTCAGTTCTTTGATTCTGTGATAGATCACTAAGTAGGATGGTCTCCAACTCCATCCAATTTAGTGTGAATTCCATGATCTTGTCTTTCTTTATGCCTGCGTAATACTCCCTCATGTATATGTACCACATTTTCTTTATTCAGTCCACTTTTGATGGGTAGTTTCCATGTTTTTGCTATTGTGAATAGTAAGGCAATAAAAGGCCTGTGCAAGTGTCTTTTTTGTAGAACAATTCAAGTTCCTCCAGGTTTATTCCCAGGGGGATTGCTGGATCACATGGAAGGTCCATTTCTAGTTATTTTAGAAATTGCCACACTATTTTCCATAGAGATTGAACCAGTTTGCATTCCCACTAACAGTGTAGAAGTGTTCCCTCTTCTTGACATTCTTGCCAACATCTATTGTTTTTTGATATATTAATGGTGGCCATTCTTACAAGAGTTAGGTGGTATCTCAATGTGGTTTTGATTTGGATTTCTATGATGATTAGTGAGGCTGAGCACATTTTCACGTGTCTGTTGGCTGCTTGTATGTCTTTTGAGAAGTGTCTATTCATGTCCTTTGCCCATTTTTTTTTTTAAGTTGGAGTCTCACTCTGTCTCCCAGGCTGGAGTGCAGTGGCATGCTCATGGCCACCTCAGTGTCAACCTGCTGGGCTCCGGAGATCCTTATGCCTCAGCCTTCCAAGTAGCTGGGACTACAGGTGCACACTACCACGCCTGGATAATTTTTGATTTATTGTAGAAATGAGGCCTTGCCAAGTTGCCCTTGGCCTCCCAAAGTGCTGGGATTACAGGCTGAGCCAATTTGCCCACTTTTTAATGGGGCTGTTTGTCTTTTTTCCTTTCTGCTCATTTGAATTCCTTGTAGATCCTGGATGTTAGGCCCTTGCCAGATACACAATTAGCAGATATTTCTTCCCATTCTGTGGGTTGTTTCCTAACTTTCTTGATGGTTTCTTTTGCTGTGTAAAAGCTTTTCAGTTTGATGAGGTCCCACTTGTCTATCGTAGTTTTTATGGCATTTGCTTTTGGGGATTTGGTCAAGAATTGGTTGTCTACTCTGATGTGCATAAGTGTGCTTCCTACATTTTCTTTTTGGTTTCTTATAGTTTGAGGTTTTTTGTTTAGGTCTTTGATCCATTTAGAGTTGGTTTTTGTGTATGGTGATAGGTAGAGTTTCATTTTCATTCTTCTGCATGTGGTCAGCCAGTTTTCCCAGCACCATTTGCTAAATAAAGTTTTTTCTCTCCAGTGGTAGTTATTGATGGCTGTGTCAAAGATGATTTGGTTGAGAGATCGAGTTTTTGCTTCCAGAATCTCTGCCCTGTTCCATTGGTCTGTATGCCTAGTTTTGTGCCATTAGCAGGCTGCTTTGATTGTTGTAGACTTATAGTAAAGATTTTTTTTTTTTAAAGCAGGATTTCTTGAGAGGACAGAAGAGCTCCCACAGTGGGAGGGGACCCCAGGGGGTTGCCCTATAGTAAAGTTTAAAGTCTGGAAGTGTGATACCTCCTGCTTTATTCCTTTTAGTGAGGATTGTTT